AAGACAGGCAGGGCCCTGCACAGTAGCAGTGCTGCAGGACTAGAACCGGCTCTACACAAAGCTGCAGATTGCAATTCTGTTCTGCTATCATGAATGTCAAGCAACTAGATGATCCACAACGTTCCTGCCTCTTCACCATCTCCTTAAGATGTCAAAGGGCCATAAGGAATGCCACGGGATAAAACAGCATTGCCCAAAATCTTTTCCAACAGTCCCATGGCAAGTCAGCAGATGTACTGATCCAAGACCCCAACTAAAGGGGGTTCAAATATAACAATATGTGAAAGATGCTTTACTGGCACCTCTGCCATGATCGAGAAAGCTGCAGAAGACCAAAGACCTTTAAATCAGCATCTACTACTCCATACGGACCAAATCACCCTAACCCAGATCGCTCCAGATCTGGCTAAGGCCTCAATTTAATATCAAACAAGAGAACGTTGCCCTGCTGCTCCTCAGATTTGCACCAAATCTGCAGGGCAGGAACTGCTTGAATGCAGTAATGTAACCCAATAACGTATCTGGGGCCTGGCAGAGAGATGTGATAAAATCTCAGCCAAGCAATAGAAAACAAAAAGCTTCAAATGGAAAAGGAGTGAAGGCAGCTGTCTCGCAGTACACCTGGAAATGCACAGAGCCCAGTTCGTAAAGGGATTATTCCGGGTCCCTGAGATGAAATGCTGACTAAACAAACATTATAGAGAAACAGATTAATATAAATTAAGAGCCTCAGAAAAAGCAAAAGGGAACTTACTTTGTCAGCAGGGAGCAGCATGTAGAGTAGCCACTTTTAAACTCAGTATGCAAGTGATGAAAAAAATGCAATTCCAGAAGGTGGCAAGTAAAGTCTTCAAGAGAACAAAGGGGGTGAAAACAGGTTGGGACGCACAGGACTTCCACCATCCCAGACAAGCGTTAGATGGGAGAAACATCAGGGAACCATCACAGCCTTGCTGCGATTAACCTCGTGCTACGGTGGGGGAAAAGAGGTGGCCAAAAACTGCCCTCCATGGATTCCAGGCAAGATACAGCAAATAGAAAGAGAATGAAAACCCACCAGATAACCCACCAAAGACACCTATTCGATAAGGATGAGGAAAGTCCCCTGGCAGACCAAAATGTGGCATATGCAAGCAAGGAAGAGCAGGTTACTGTGAGCTGGGACATCCCAACCCAGACTTGTGAGGCAGTGAATACTCAATCCTGTAGAACACAGCAGCGCGTAAAGAAGAAAAACAAGAGACTGAGCCCTGTTATTTAAAATTGCTCTTTTACACAAGTGTAGGAGATTGTTAAAGAAATCAAAAGTCCTGGCTGCCAGACTTGGACGCCACCGAGGAGAGCAATTCACTCTCTCTTTAGAAGATAAGAACTGAAAGGTAAAGTCTCACACACTTCGTCATGGAGAAAGGTCTTTTCTCTTGAACTTTTAAGCATTACAAGATGTACCTCTCTAGAAGAGGAAAATGGGGCAGAGCCAGGGCTGCCTCCAGGACCACCAGACACCATGCAACATGGATCGATAGCAAGTCCTTGGCTCACCTTAAGTTCCCGCTTTCGATTTCGGTCACTGTTAGACTTCGAGTGCCTGGAGCTTCGGCCTTCTTCCACTGCCTCGAAGAGCTTGTCCACAAACCTCAGAGTAGAATCGTCGAGAAAGGGCTTGAGATGGTCTAGAGAAAAAGAGAAGCCTGTGTTAATGGCAAAATTCATTCTTTGGAACAAAGAGGAGAATAAAAAACTCCGTGCCACCACAAAACATTCAGATACAGGCAGCTTCAATCTAACACAGTGGGACCCATGGCCTGGGCTCCGCAGGCCTCTGGCACCTGCAGATTTCAACTTCTAAAGGGTTAGGAAAAGGATGAACAAACAGAAATCCTTCTGTCAGGAAGTTTAAATTCACTACACGGGAGTGTGTTTGGGTGGATTTGTTCGTACTCACCTTTGTTGTGCTTTGGGTTAGTCAGGAAACTGCCCCCTCGCTGCGTGCGCACGCATACGACAGCACCAGGGTTTGTGTAAAGAACCAGCTCAACACGAACGAGCTCCCGCCCTCATGTGCCGGACACCGACAGCCTCAACTACTACTGAAACCACAACCCACCGCAGAGCAGAGCACAGGTCACTCTCCCAGGAATATGGGAGTGCAGTTTACATCCCATTTAAAGCTCTTTCAAATGCAGCACAACCTCTATTAACAGGCAGCTCCAACACACCCCTACTTCAGAGGAACCTGCAGTTCATTTACTTGTTCAACGTATTAGGAAAAGCACCTGTACTGTTTTTGCTCCACGTGCAAGATTGGTATCATTTCATGTTGTTTAACCCTAAAATATCATCAGACACAGATTCCATAAACCAAGCGAGGGGCAGATGTTAAACATCAGCCCAGGAGCTGCCTGTTTTACGTGCTCCTTGCTCTGTATCAGGGGCTCCGAATGCTTGTACGAGTGATTGCAGCCCAGCGCTCGGGACATACCGGCCGCTTTCTTCTTGTCCATCCCCTTGCCGACGCAGTTGAGCGCGGCCGTGACCACGGTGGGCTCCGAGAAGCCCAGGACTCGCTTCACCGTCTTCTCGATCCATGGCTTCAGCTCATCCAGCTCCCTCTTGGAGAGCGACATGTTCACCGGCGGCCGCTTTCAATCACCCTGCTTGCACCTAAAAGGCAGAGACACAAGGAAAACACAGATTAGTTTTAAGAGACAAAAAAAAGGAAAAGGGAAGCTTACAACTGCTGAAAGTTCTTGGAGATTACTTGGGCTTGTTTATTTTAAGCTAACTACTAACAGACAAAGGCTCATTTATCTTCCCCGAAAACCACCAGCTCGCAAGCACAACGAGCTCGCCCTGGACAAGGTGGACAAAATAAAGAGCAGATATGAACACCCTCAACGCGTGCGTGCGCAGGGCAGAGCTCAAGGCTGCTCTGTATGAGAGACCACAGCCACAATCTGCAGGACAGGATCTCATCCTGCCTCACTCCATCGGCCTGGATGCAGAATTTGTTCCATGCCACATAGTCCAGATCCCAGGGAATTGTGGCTACGCTTAAGACCGAGTTTAAAAACCTAATTCAATGATCGGATGTGCTAATACTTAAAATTCCACAAGTGCTGGGTCTGTGTTTGCTACTGAAATCAGCATCGTCTCGGGCTCAGCTACAGCAGTGCATCTCCCAACCCGATTGTTTTAAGCCCAGCGTCAAATTACAGATTTTCAAGAGAAAACCTCTCACCGTTAGTCATTGGTGGTTCCTACATTTAACGTCAGGCTCCAAGGGTAATGCTTAATTACGTACTTGGTGCCTAAACTGATTTGGAAACCAAGTGTCCTTATCTGGAAAGAGGAGAATATTTTCTTAAGGCAGAACGGGCCACCGGAATGATTATTCCCCAGAAGGAAAGGCCCGGCTATTAACGCGGGTCTATTTAAATGGAAAGCAGAGGCCACCTCAAACAAGGCTGATACTCGCAAACAGAGGGGGGAAAAAAGCAAAACTTCTAACAGCTAAAGCTAAAAAAAAAACGGATTTTAATTTAGGGTTTGTGGGAAGGAAACAAAAAGAAGCAAACACAGAGGGTCCCAGGAGCCTCGGGAGATGGGGCTGCACTTTCCTGGAGGCTCCTTAATGGTACCCAAGCAAAAAGGGAGAAACTGCCACATTCTTAAGAGTCCATCCAAAGGCCAACGTGGGTTACACACCAGGAGCGCCACACGCTCCCCGAGGGAGTCACCGAGACCCGCAGCAGATTAAACCCTCCGATCACAGCAACGGCGGTGCCACTCGTGTTCGTAAAGCCCCAGCTACACGTACACGCGCAAACCCAACCCCAGCGCGACGTACACACGTATACAACAGCCCCAGCAATACATAAACACACACACGTAATCCCAGCCCCAGCTACACGTCTGCGCACGGACGCAACCCCAGGCCCAGCCGTACGTACACACGTCTATAACACATAACGCAAGGGTATATAACACACGGGAGCGCAGGAGGAAACGCGCCCAGCGGCCCGGCGCGGGAAGCGCCCGCGGGATACGTAATTAGATAAATCAACACGCAGAGCCGTGAAGCGGGCTGCTGCCTGAGGCCGAGCGCCGTGCCCGGCCCCGCTAAGGCGCCGCCTCGCGCAGCAAGGCCCCGCCGCCCTCCAGCGCGGCCCCCTCACCG